TTTGCTTGTCCTCAAGCAAATAGAACAAATGAGAGAAAGAGGTTGAATGTATTGGGAGTTCATTTTCCTTAATAAGAGAGTGGATCACTAAAAGAATTCAAAGTTCATTGTCCTAGTTGCTAATTCTAAGATGCAGTGCAAAAAAGATTACTCATAAAACTTTTGCCATACTCATCATAAAGTGAATCAAGCCTCAGCATCAGCTTTTACAAGCAGCTCTAGTTCCAACCTTTTGACATTCACTAAAGTGCAATGTGGATCATGCTCATGCAAATCATGTGAACTCATTTGTCTTGGGACTAGGTTTTTGAGGCTAAAATGATCTCAACAAGTCACTAGTTACTCCAAGCAAAAGGATCTCTCAAAGAATAGCAGACTCAATAAAAAGCTAAGGGTAAAAAGAAATGGGTGCATACAGAGTCAGAACCATATCTACCCATACCGAAAAGATGCATTCACTCCTTAGTCTAAACCCATCAAGCCTCTCTTCTCTTCACCAGCTCTCATCACTCCTTTTCATTTCAACTCAAGGGGAATGCTCTCTCTTTTCTTTTCAAACACTTTTTTCTCATTAAAACACTCAGCTATTTTCTTTATTCAAGTCTCTCTTTTCTTTTCTTTTTTCATTCTTTTCTTTTCTTTTTCAGAGACTTAGCACGTAAACTTAGAGCTCTCATTTCTTTTCTCATTCACTTTTCTTTTTAGAGCATATTCCCCCTTTCTTTTCCATTTTCACTTCTCAAGATCTCTTTTTCAGCTCACAAACTCAAACAAGCTCTCACACAGTCGCCTAAACCTGGACTAGTCCTTGATGTTGGACCAGTGTCTACATGCGGCTCTTTCTCTATCACTCTAAACCCAACACCATTTACCGAGTCTACTAGAACAAGGCCTCACACAAATGCACACACAAAGATTTGTTGGCTTCAAATAAATGTTTGGTTCAAGGCATGGAACTGTCTCAAGATGAGAGAACAGCTATTTGAGCTAGCAAAGAGTGGTAAAAAGGGATAAGAAAGCTCAAATATTTTAAGGTACCCATGAGTTCACAATGACATGCACAAACATGATAATTAGATTTTCAAATTATGGTTCTCACTTAGACAAGGCTGGAACTATTCAAAGCTTGATTCACTCAACACAAATTCAATGAAATAACAAGTTCCAAGCATGGATCAATCTTGATTTCTTTCTTTTTGCATGCATCAAATAACTAGAAACTAGGGCAGTGAAATGAATTCTTCAAGTGATATTGTCTCAAGGAAAAACCTATCATCACTCCCATGCAATGATGCAACCTATATGATTATGCAACTAGACTCAATCCTAAAAATGTGAATGCAACTAAATGAATATTTTTTGTGAAAATTTTTCTGATTTTTCAATTTTTTTGGTTTTATGTATGCACTTAGATGCAGACTCAAAATGAAAAAGAAAATAAGATCAAGAACAAAAATGGTTAGCAATATTAAACTCCTCCCCCATACTTAAATAACACAGTCCCTTGTGTTATAAAAACATAAGAAAGGAGTGTAGATCAAGCTCAAAATGCAAGATGAGAAAGAAAAATAAAATGCAAAATGTTATGTACAAGTTGGAGTGGTACCTCCCAAGGACTTGGAGGTTGGGTTGGAGACCCCACTGAGTAAGATGGATTGCTGGACTGGTCGGAGGGTGATCTCATGGCGGCTCTCTTTGCCCTCAGATCCTCATCAGATGACTCATGATCGATGTACGCCACCAGTTGTCCTCCTTGCTCAGAACTCTCTCCTTCAGTCTCTTGAGCTTGCATCGGTTCAACATTAATGGGCTGGGAGCTTTCTCCTTTCTCTTCCTTGCCGCTAAGCTCCTTGATCTTGAGCTTCATCCCCTTAACCGTCCTTTTCAAGCTCTTAACCGATTTCACCAGCTTCCTGGTTGTCTTGTCTTGCCACTTGTTCCACCCTTGAAGCTGATTAGTGTGGTGATGAGATTGGGCAATGGGTTCAGGCATTCTTCCATTGTATGGAGTGAAGAAGTATCTCTCACTTCAATACTTTGGATCAGGGATCACTGTCTCATCCTCTTGAGCTTCTTCATCATCACTCATTGCCTGATTTCCCTTGTTCCCTTTTCTCTTGATACTGATGATGGGAGGATGAATATCTGGGTTGTAGTGGAGGTCTTTGGTGATGTGAAAACCAATGTTCCTCTGATCAGAAAGTGAGGTGATGGATGTATTGGGCAGCAAGATCCTCACTCCTCTATCATAGAAAGTGAGGTTATAAGCAAACAAGCCTCCTTCCACAGATCCCTCAATGAAAGTTGTTCTCACAAGATATGCTGCATCCATCAACTTAAAATGCTTCTTCTCACCAAGTAGAGGTGCTCCTTTAGAAATCAAGAGAGGAGTGATCAGACCTACACAGTACAGGCGTGGCTTCTTGCTTTTGGTGGTGAGAGCCCATTCCTTGAGATGCATAAAATGCTTGATTAAAAGTGCTGCCATAGAAGGCTTTGTCTCATCTCCAATAAATGGTACACCACTTTGATAAAAAGGCAAGAAAGCCTTCATCTCCATTTGCACAATCCTCATCTCTTCCTGAGACACAGACCCAAACTCTTTCTTTCCAAAGAATGTCTAAGCAACAACCTTGTGAGCCATTCTTATCGCTGGATTCCTCATGTTAGAAGCTTTGCTTATCCCAACAAGACAACCTCCATTGGCTGAGAGTTTCCAAGTTATTCTACATCTTTTGTGGATGCAGATGGCTCACCAACATCAGATCTGTTCTCAGTGGCAAACCCAAAGACTTCACATATCTCAGAAAAGTCATCGCATATCTCTCCACACCAATCTTGAAGTCAATGAAACAATGCGCTTCATTTTGGTGGTAAGTGACAAGCAATGAGGCAAGGAATTGAGCTGTGGAATCACTGTAAGCATAGTGAGGCATGTCAATCAAGTTCCCAAGACCAGCTACCTTGGTAATGGTCCTCACATCTTCTAAAATCCCAAGCTTCTCAAGGAACTCACAATCAGGAAACCAAGTTGGCTCCATCTCTATCTATCTCAGCTTCTTCAAGTAATCAGGAAAAGATGTTTCCTTGGATTTATTTGACCCTTTGCTCTCTGTCTTTTTTCTTTTCCTAGCAGCTGTTTGAACAGCTCTCACATCATCACCAGCGGGCTCTCCCCCTTCAGTTCGTTTTCCTTGGGCTTTGGAGGTTGAGGCTTCTCCTTTTATCATAACAATCTGCTTGTTTTTCTTAGCAGCTTTCTTTGCCCTTTCTGGTTCATCAGAGCCTCTGGTCTTTGCCATTGTTCCTGAAAACACAAGTCTTACACAAGAAATGAGCATCTAAACTAACAGAATACCACTTGTGCGATTTTATGAGATCAAAAATGGTAAAGTCACTGTGAATTTTCGGAAACAATTTTAGCATGAAGAGTACATCCAAATCAATCCACAGCTATTTACCACATTAAAAACAAAAATCGGATCAGACCAGAACAATTCTTGCACCATAAATCACTGCTCAAAGACAAGTTTCTCAAGAAATGCAAAACTCAGCTCAAGAACAGAAATTAAGCACATGGGTTCCTTACTTACTCATTTCCAGCCTAAATCCCAAGGTTCTAAGTTCCTCTAACAGTGCATTAACCGATTTCAAGAAAACTTTCTTCAAGAAAAAATCTTTCAAAAACCGATTCAGTTCAACTACAAGATGGGATGCTTTCATGATCGATTACCTTGGGATTAAGTGAAATCAGCTAGATACGTTAGCAAGAGCAGAAAGAGGATGGAAAAACGAGCTCAGCGCAACAAGAATCACAAAAATCCGACTTGAAATGAGTAAGTTATGAGAAAAAGAAGTTCAGAGAGTGAAAGAAAGCAAGCCTGGTGTTGGGGAAGAAGAGACTTAAGTCTCTAGGTCGGTGTGGGAAACAGCTGGTGAGGGCTGTCTTCTGTTGACTTTGACCAAGTTCACCCAATGGACCGCTGGGTAAAGATGTGCATCATGCTACACCGAGTTCCATTCACTCGATGCTACACTCGATGCTACACTCGGTGTTGATCAAGTTTGGTTTTGAGAAGTTCCACACCGAGCTTGTTCTTTCAGGTGCCGGTCCCGGTGTTGTTTTGCGTGGACTCGGGAGGTTCAACACCGGCCTGCTTCTGTCCGGTGTAGACCTGGAGTGCTGGTGTACGCGTTGGGGAAATTTTCAACACCGAGCTCCATTTACACGTTGTGACCCCCGGTGCTGAGTTTCCCTTCCCACGTTGCGTTTTACACCGGTTTAAGTCTCCCAGGTGCTTGTTCTGGTGCTGTCTTCTTCTTCTCAAGTCGTGTTCTACACCGGCCTTCATGTCCTCGGTGTGATCCCCGGTGTTGAGTCTTTCTTGGAGAAAATTTCTACACCGGCCTTCTCTGACCCGGTGTAATCCCCGGTGCTATTTTGAATGCTTTTAGGCCAGAATTACACCAAGTTTGATCTCCCAGGTGCCGATCCAGGTGTTGTGCTGCACGGTCTAGGGAGTTTCTACACCGGCCATCATATTCCTGGTGTTGTCCCTAGTGCTAAACCCAGGCGAGTCAAGGATGTGCACACCGAGCTCAAGAATCCCGAGGTGCATCCCAATGTGAAATCTCCACGTTCTCCTGTTAATTCTACACTGAGGGTCATTTGCCCAATGCTTTCCCCGGTGTTAAACTTTTCCAAAGAAAATTTCCCACACCGAGGTGCATATGGCCGATGTTGAGCTTGGTGTGTCCGAGTCCAGATTTAACTTGGTGCAGCATATCTTTACCTTCCCTTTGGCACCATTCCTTCTTCTTTGGACAACTCCTGAACACTTTTATACTTGAACACACTCAACAAACACATCAAAAACATCATAAAAAACATAAAAAGAAAGAAAATAAAATATTAAAAATAAGTATGTACAAGGATAAGCTTGGGGTGTCTCCCAAGAGCACTTTGTTTAATGTCGCTAAGTTTGACTTTGAAAACCTGTTTAACAGGTTGGTGGATCATCAAGAGAAACTGTAGAAGCCTCCTCTCTCTTCTCTGAAACCAGGTAATGCATGACTCTTTGTCCATTCACCACAAAACCCTTGCCATCCTTACCTTCCAAGACAAATGCTCCATAGCTTCTAACCTCTAGAACTCTGAATGGTCCTGACCATCTTGATCTTAACTTGCCAGGGAAGAGTTTGAGCCTGGAGTTAAACAAGAGAATAAAATCTCCTTCCTTGAACTCCCTGTTAAGAATCTTCTGATCATGCAAGATCTTGGTCATTTCTTTGTAAATCCTTGCACTCTCAAAAGTATTGAGTCTTATCTCCTTTAGCTCATGTAACTGGAGAAGCCTCTTCTCTTGGGCTGTCTTAATGTCAAAGTTCAACATCTTAACAGCCCAAAGAGCCTTGTACTCAAGCTTTACTGGTAAGTGGCAGCTCTTTCTATAGAGAAGGTTGAAGGGAAATATGCCAATAGGTGTCTTGAAAGCAGTCCTATAGGCCCAAAGATCATCATCTAACTTCTTGCTCCAATCCTTCCTTGAGTTGCTCACTGTTCTCTCTAAAATGGCCTTGATTTGCCTATTGGATGCCTCCACTTGACCACTAGTCTAAGGGTGATAAGGGCTTGCTACCTTGTACTTGACTCCATGTTTCCTCAACAGCCCTTCCAAGGTCTTGTTAATGAAGTGGCTACCTCCATCACTGATCACCACTCTTGGTATTCCAAACCTTGGAAAGATAACACTATTAAAGAGCTTGCACACCACCTTTGAATCATTATTTGGGCAAGCAATGGCTTCAACCCACTTGAAGACATAATCAACAGCCACCAAGATGTATTGGTTCCCATAAGAACTGATGAATGGCCCCATGAAATCTATGCCCCAGCAGTCAAAGATCTCAACCTCCAAGATTGGGTTTTGAGGCATCTCACTCCTTTTTGATATGTTGCCCTGCCTTTGACATGAATCACAACTTGAGACCACTCCTTGGGCATCCCTGAACATAGTAGGCCACCAGAAACCTGATTGCAATACTTTGGCCACCGTTTTAAAAGCTCCCAAGTGTCCACCATAAGCTGAGCCCTGACATTCTTGTAGGACTGGCTGGACCTCTTCCTCAGCTAGACATCTTCTGTATAGATGATCCTTGTTGAGCACATAGAGAAATGGCTCATCCCAAAAATACTTCTTGATGTCTTTAAAGAACTTCTTCTTTTGATATCCACTTAGCTCTGGTGGTTCAACCCCACATGAGAAGAAGTTCACTATATCAGCAAACCAAGGCAACCTTCTTTCTCTAATGGTATCAACCTCCTCAACCTTCATGTAACTCTTGAGCACCATAAGGTGTTCTTCAGGTAGAGAATCATTAAGAGGGATCTCAGAATCCACTCTTAGTCTTGAGAGGTGATCAGCTGCACCATTCTCTATTCCTTTCTTATCCTGAACCTCCATATCAAATTCTTGCAAAAGAAGCACCCATCTCAACAACCTTGGTTTTGCATCCCTCTTTGTCATCAGATATCTAAGTGCACCATGGTCTGTGTAGAGTAACTATCCAGAAAACAGAAGAAGGGATGATTAGCTAGTCTTTCTAACATTTGGTCAATAAAAGGAAGTAGGGAAGTGGTCTTTCCTAGAGGTTGCATTCAACTTTTTGTAATCTATACACATCCTATTACCTATGATGGTTCTGGTTGCTATCAGCTCATCCCTTTCATTTTTGATCAATCTCATTCCACCCTTCTTGGGCACCACATGAACTGGTGAAACCCATCTAGAGTTTGAGATAAGATAGATGATTCAAGCCTCTAGGAGTTTTAGAATTTCCTTTTTCACTACTTCTTTCAAGTTAGAATTCAGCCTCCTTTGGTGTTCAATGGATGACATAGATTTTTCTTCAAGATGAATCCTATGAGTGCATAAGTTTGGTGAGATACCTTTTATGTAAGATAATGAATAACCAATGGCTCTCCTATGCTTTCTCAACTCATTCAAAAATGCATGCTCTTGATCATCTAGCAACCTATCATTTATGATGAAAGGGTAAGACTCATTGAGGCCTAAGAATGCATACCTGAGCCCTGTTGGTAGAGGTTTGATCTCAACAGGGGGTGCTTTAGTCTCATCCCAATTCTCCATGAAGCTCCTTTGATCAGCTTCTGGCCCAATGCTGTTAGCTTCTCCCCTTTGTTTCTCCTTGAAGACCCACTTTTCCTTTGTCTTTTGAACCTACACCGGGTACCACATTGAGCTAATGCACCCAGGTGTTGTTTTCTTCATTTGTCTCGCCAAAAATTTCCTACACCGGGCTTGTTGAAGCCAATGTCCTGCCCGGTTCTAACTTCTGCGCATCTCCGACTAGTTTTACACCAAGTACCGCACCTGGAAGATGCACCTCGGTGTTAAAACTGTCGAAACTCCTTTGTTCCTCAAGCATGTACACCGGGTAAGACTTGTCCGATGTTGATCCCGGTGTATACTCCTTCTGTTGATAATTTCCAACACTGAGGTCTATAATGCCGGTGCTGAGCTCGGTGTAGACCCCATCCGAACTTGTTGAGCTCAAGACATTCCACATCGGGCTTGAAATAGCTGGTGTCCTGCTCGGTGCTGGTTCCTCCGAATTTTGGTGTTCATCTACACCGGGTTCCACACCTGGAAGATGCACCCCGGTGTTGATGACCTCTTGACACTTAGGCGTTTTTGAGCCTCCAAAACCTTCTTCTTGAACTCTGTAGTCTAACTCCATGAAAGATGCACTTCCTCCCTCTCGTTTGTGTGCATCAAGAAGCTTCATAAACCCCAAGGTCTCAGGATCTTCTAGATAGCCATACTCACCATATTCCTTTGTTAAAGCTATTTGGAGGGGGTCCTTCAGATTTAACTCCTCCAAAAGCTCATCAGCTAGCTCATCCATGGTCTCTATGAAGAAGACTTGACCTTCTGTGGTGGGTTTCTTCATCATCTCTTTCACATCAAACTTGAGTCTCTCTGATCCATGCTGAAGTTCAATCATGCCACCCTTTACATCTACGATGGCACCAGCAGGGGCAAGGAATGGTCTGTCTAAGATGGGAGGATCAATGGGTTCCTCATCCATTTCCAAGACCACAAATTCTGTTGGAACCTCAAAGCCACCTATCTTGACTGGTAGATCTTCAAGCATTCCAACTGGTAGTCTAACAGACCTATCAGCTAAGACTAGAGAGATTCTTGCTGGCTTGAACACTCTGTACCCCAACTTCTTTGCTATTGAAAATGGCGTCAAGCTCATTGCCTCTCATAGAAGCTCACTGATCGGTTGCCCTGCTTTGTATGATTACACTACACTCATGACTCAACACAACCATCCCTGTTAGCTCCTTTGTCTTGTTGAGGATGGCATCTTTTAAAAAATTTCCAAGCCTTGGCATCATAAGGAAAGCTTCTATGAGAGGCATGGTGAATGGGGTCTCATTAAGCTGCTTTTCAAAAACTGCTCTAGCCTTGTCTAAGAGTTGCTTCTTAAACCTTCCAGGAAATGGAAGTTTAAGCTGATAAAGAGGTGGTGAAACATAAGGCTTCTCAGTTTATGATTCCTTCTCCACCTCTTTAGCTTTTCATTTCTTTGAAACTTCAACCTCTATCTCATCCCTTGGGGCTGCCTCCCCACCAACTTGCTCATTGTCCTCAATGAGCACTCTATGTTGTTCTAGACCTGGTAGCTCGTTGCCACTTCTCAAGGTGATGGCATTAGCATACTCCTTTGGATTATTTCTGGTTTACCAGGTAGAACTCCTTGACTTCTTGAAGTAGAGGCTTGATTCTGCTATAGCTCTCTTATCTCTTGCTGCATGGATGCATACTTTGAACCCAGATCAGAAAACTCACTCTCAACCCTTTGCTGTCCTTGTAACAACTGCTGTAGCACTCCACACAGGTATGGACCCATCTGCTGCTGTTGTTGAACCGCTTTTGGCTGCTGAAACTGCTGCTGACTGAACCCAGGTGGTGCCTTGCTTTGCTGCAGCTGAGAACTGAAGTTTGTACCCTGGCTCTGCTGCTGTTACTGACCATACTGTTGTTGTGGCTGCACAAACTGTTGCTTTGGTTGAAAAGAACTTTGAAACTGAGGCTTACGGGCAAAGCTTTGCTGGTTTGGTTAGTGCTCATATAAGACAAGTTGTTGTTGGCATTAAAGTTGTTGAACTTCTGGTATATGTTCTGGTTCCCAATGTAGTTCAACTCTTCTTGGGTTAAACCTTCTTCATTGATGTTCTCAAAGCATGGAGACACATCAAATTCACCAACATAATGGATTGGTTTTTTAGAAACCATCTTCAGCTTGTCAAGTTCATTTCTCAGCTCTTTGACTTCTCTAGTAAGCTTTTGCTCTGAGCTTGAACCATCTGATCTGTTTGCTCTGTCATAATCTTCACCATATGTGTCGTTAGACATTGCCAGATTTTCCACAAGTTCCATAGCAGCTGTAATCTCTTTTGCCAAGATATTACCATTGGAAGTTATGTCCTGAACCGCTCCCATGCTTCTCCAAAAGTTTCATTTGAGTGTTGTGTGAAACTAGAGATCTGGTTTCTAAGCTTTGATGTCCTGCTTGTGAAGAAGAACTTGGTGAAGAAAGCTTCTTTACATTGTTCCCAAGTCTGAATGCTCCCAACTGGTAGATTCCTCTCCCATTGTCTTGCTTTGTCTCCCAAACTGAATGGAAACAACCAGAGCTTAGAACCATCTTCTGAGACTCCATTTATCTTGGTCAATATGCAGACCCTATCAAACTGATCAATATGGTCCAATGGGTCTTCCATTGGCAGTCCATAAAACTTAGAGTTTTGGACCATATTAATCAGTGATGCTTTGACTTTGAAGTTATTGTTTTCCACTAGTGGACAAACAATACCAGCTTTTTCTGGTGAGCATTGGCTGTATCATTGGCTCCCACATAGATTGGTTGGTGCGCTTGATGTCTTTGAGCCATTTGGTGTTGCTGCGCATTTGCCTGATGCCTTTGTTGGTTATGCGGATGCTGTGTCTGATTCTGATTGCTCTGAGCATGTCCCTGGTGGACATTGGCTTGCTGATTCGGCACATTACCCTGCTGAACTCCTATACCAGCTCCCTGACCGTGTGCTTGAGCCTGTTGCTCTTCCTAAACCGACTGTTCTATATCAACGACGTGATGCTCCATATCAACAACTTGTTCTTCTTCCCTTGGCTGTGTATTTACCAAGAGGTTGATGTTGTCGTTGAGAGGAAATGGTGGACCACAACTTCTAGACCTTGATCTGGTGTTCATACACCTGAAAACAAAGACATAACTTGCAAAGTAATTAGTAAACAAAAGAAAAGGACTTGATCTCAAGAAAGTATCAAAAACTAATGTTAAACCCCACTTTGGCAATGGCGCCAATTGATAACTAGAGGTTTTTAGGTCTTTAGATGGGGTTATCAATCCCTTGTCTTTGTAATACAGAGGGCTATCAATCCAAATATGTGGGTAAACACTAGTTCATGATGATAGTTTCTTAATCCAAGCAATATGATGAGTTTGGTTTGTGACAAGTACTTAAAATGAAACTAAAACAAGTATTAAACAAGTGATAAATGGAAATGAAACAAACAAGACAAGCAATGACAAGCAAGATGATAATGATATGATATGATGAAGGAAAGGCCTTAGACAAGATAGATGGTTAGGGTGCTTTGGTGCTAAACTAGAAATGCTAATTACAATAATGAAACATGATTCAAGTGATTTGGGATTCTAATCAAGCCTTTTCCCAAGCATCAAGACACAAATCAAGCCATTTCACATACTCAATCATCATTGGCGATCAAACAACAAGACAGCATTAAGAATCAATCCCAAGTGATCATTTATGCAAATAACAAACATCATCATGGCATTAATGCATAAACCTCTAATATAGCTCTTTCAGGAATTTCATCAAACACTTTTGGTGCATGAAAAACCCAGATTCTAGATCACAAGTGATGTGCAATGATCTAGCATAGAGATCAGCTATTTAGAGAAATGAAAAAACATGGATCTAGCCCTAAGCACTCCTAATCCAACACTTTAGCACCCTAACCTACTCATCTAAGACCTTAAGATGGATATACTCACTAATCATGATTATCTCCCTTAATCCTTTGCAAGATGGGTAGACAAGCATGATTAGATGATGAGAAATGATAGAAAATGGATAGATGATAATGAAATGGTGACTAAAGCTCTTAAACTCTCTTGATTCAAGAAGAAAATGGAGATATCTCTCTCAAAGTGTGTTCTTTCACAAAAGAAGCAAAAAGCTTAAGATAAAATGAGATCCTCCTAAGGGTAAAACCCTAAACTGTATTTATAGTTGTCTCCTAATTTCCGGGTCAACCCGGAATAAACCGGGTATTGATCCGGAAAGAAAATCTCTTAAAATGCTGAGGTGTTTACACCAAGGTTAATTTGTCCGAGCTCTGGCCGGTGTAGAATGTCTTGAAGCTTGTCTTGGGCGTGTGAGCTGACACCGGGATGCTTTTGGTCGGTGTTGTCCCAGGTGTTGTCCAGGAAGCTTGGACGAAGGAGATAGCACCAGGATGCATTTCTAAGGTGTTGATGTCGGTGTAAAATGAGCAAAACTTCTGTGAGATTTACACCGAAGAGCACACCTGGATGAGGCTGCTCAGTGTTGGGAAGATTGCTGGAACGTGTGAGCTAGCACCGAGGTCCATATGGCCGGTGTGGAGCTCATTGTGGCAGGAAAGTTTGAAACGATGCAAATTACACCGAGGTGCTCTTCTCCGATGTTGTGGCAGGTGCTGAACATGAAAAGCGATTGGTGCAAGGATGAACTAGCACCGGGGTGCATTATCTTGGTGTGGACCACTTTGTTAGGTTCAGTGTAGCAAAATCCTCAAAGTATGACCAGCATCGAGGTTATTCTGCTCGGTGTTTCTCTCGGTGCCAGGAACCTCTCAGCACTTAAACTATTGTAACTTCTTGCTCAGCACTCAGAATCCAAATATTCCAACTCCAGGTAAAAGCCAACTCACTCAGATCCAACTTTGGTGAAGGGATCGTTTGCATCCAGGGAAAATAAGGTCACCCGGATTATCGATCATTGAAGTGCACGGGAATGCTCCAGAAAAGGCTTTTAAACCAGTTCTTACTACGGAAGCGTTATTTCTCATCTCAGAGCTCCAAATTGTATGATCTCAACCGTTATGAAAAGAGGACTTGAATTTCTTGAATCTTGATGAAGGCCCTGTAAACTGAATCGGAACGGAAAGGCATCATCCAGCGTAATCTTTGTAGCACATCAGATCGGTCTGGAATGCAAGCAAGATAGGCATGTCTTCCGGTGGCCACAACTCTCAGCTCACTGATCCGAATCCCCTGATTCCAACTGTTCTGCAACCATGACTCAATCCTCTCCAACTTTGATGAAGACCCGGAAACCAAATCGGACGTTAATATTCCTCGGACGAGTGATCTTTGAGACGTATCGGCAGAACAAGTTTTAGCCGAGGGCTCATGTACTGATGCGCAACCTTTAGCCGATAAACTTGAGGCTTGTAAAAGGTTTCCTTGGGGTAGGTATTCATTTGATGTAAATATGAAGGAGATTGAGCACACAATAACGCATTTCAAAGGGGTCGTCGAAACAGATGCCTGGACATTTCCAAGCTTTGTTACTCCCTTGGAGGCAGGTCACATTATAAAGAATTTGTAAGTATGTAATACTATGAGCTTAAGTGTAATTTGTTGGGTTTATGTGTAGTTGCTAGCTTTTGAGGCCATCCCATGTCTGAAGAACAAATACAGAGAAGATGTTAGAGGAGCAGAGAGGGATTGTCTCCGGATGTGCAGACAGAAGTTCCAACCATTCACCCTTAAAGGTTTCCCTTGGTTGGAACTCTATGAAACACTGGGTAACACTAGGGTCATCTTGAATATATTGCAACCATCCGAGGATGAGGTAATTATGCTTGTTGGAGTCATGGAGAGGAATTAAGAGGAAGTTGTCGGTGATATTGTTCCTGAAAATTGGACGAGGCGTTTAGTTGAGGAAAAGAAGCCGATATTCTGGAAAGAGATATGCAAGATCGATGTTGATGCCCGAGATAATAAAGAGTGGGTACACCATCCTGCAGCGGCTAAGAATAATCCGAGGACGGAGAATGTGGCACCTCTTGGATTGGTGGAACAACTTCAGAGCTTGCAGAAGAGTATGGACGCTCAGTTTCTCCGAATAAGTGCCCGAATGGATGGCTTTGATATAAGACTCTTCTCTGTAGAACAATATGTAAAAGAGACAAGAAGAGAAAGGGAAGGACCAGGAGATGAGGGAGGAGAAGTTTTTCGAAATGATGTAGAACATGAACATGAACAAGGTGGAGAAAAACTTGAAAGTGTGGTGACAACTGAGAAAGCGAGGAAGCAGAAACAGCCAAAGAAGAAGCAGCCAAAGTAGAAGCCGAAGAAGAAGTAGAAGGAGCCGGAGCAGAAGAAGCCAGAGCAGAAGGAAGCAGAGCAGAAGGAGGCGGAGCAGAAAGAGGCAGAGATGAATGAGGCGGAGCTGAATGAGGCGGAGCTGAAAGAGGCGAAGCTGAAAGAGGCAGAGCTGAAAGAGGCAGAGCAGAAGGAGGCGGAGCAGAAGGAGGCGGAGCAGCTTGTAGCCCGATCTCCGTACTTGCTTAGAAGTAAAGAGGTATTGAAGTTTGAAGAGTAATATCCATTGTTTTGGTAATACTAAACATTTCGTGATAACACTATGTTGTATTAATAGGTAGACAGAACTAGACGGTGCTGACGCTGTGAATGCAGAAGTGGGTGCAGCTAAACGGAAACAAGAGCAATCGAAGCTAGGGTCAAACACAAGGCAGAGACGTTAAGTCTCCTTTGACATTTGGTATATGTATTTGTATTTGGATTAACTCTATTAGGGTGTGTACTTCTATTTTTATTATTGATTTTGGATTACTAAGTATTTTTTGGATTATTGAAAACCAAAAATTGGAAAAACTTGGTATTATTGGTGAAACCACATGTAAATTGTATAACCTAGTATTATTTGGTGTAACCGCTTATATATGAGGAATACTAGACCTAAACAGTTTGAGTTAAAATTATTATAATAATATTTATACACAACATAAAGAAGTACATAACATTACGAATTGTTAACATAAGGAATCCAGAACATAAGGAAGTACAAAAAACAAAAAAAACATCAGACACATTCACCAGTTGACCATTTCAAGAAAAGCTCTAACTACCCGTTACACATATAGGAAGAACCTTCCGCATTCGCGAGTTAAGAAGTAGTAGTACCAGTTGTTCCCTGGTTTATACTCATCATTCCACCAACGCTCCCAAAGGTTAATTGTACCGCACGGAGAGTGGATAAGAGTATTGAGGCGCGGTAAAAAGCGACGGTGGCTTTCATCGAACATCTCTAGCAGCGCCATTGGCCGACGAAGATATACTTCTTCAACGAGCTCGCGGCTGCACTTCCTTATTGTTTCCCGGCTTAGTTTGATGAGGTACTCATCACCCTCGGGATGTTCCATAACAAGTTTCATGAACATCCCGTAGACATATACTGCACGCGTGTACCCTCTATCTGTCATCCTTTATCAGTTGAATCCCTCCAAAATCGTGTCGATGAAAATAAAGTTGCATACCTCGCATGAAAAGCATTCCTGGATTTCATGCATCATAGAACTCTCTAAAGACATCAATGATGAGATGGACATCTTGAACCACTCGATGACCCATATTAAAGGGATCAACTTCAGCATAGAAGCCAAGGCCTCTGGTGCAGGCGTTGAACCTATGACAAATCGAGCAAATCCTTATTAGATCACCAATTGTATTAACCGACGTTGCCAGAACCTTTTCAAGTAGTTTTTCTGGTAGGGCTAGTAGGTAGGAGTACTCTGTCATGGTTTTATATATTAAAGTGGTCGAGGCCGAGTTTTGTGAAAGGGATTTTGAGGAAAAGATCTGAAACCCTAAGAGAAAATGATGGATTTTGTAATATAAAAGGAAAATCTGAACCCTAAGAGAGAGGAGGAAAGAAAAAGTGATTGATTTGGAAAAGTAATGAAGAAGTAGAATGTATTTTAGAACTTCTTTCCGTATGGATTAGATTTGCAAACTTAAATAATAGAAAATGGAGGAACTGAGTAGTCTCGTCGAGTAAACGCGAACATATGAGAGAGAAGAATAACTGCTACTCTCATTAATACGTTATTGAAAATATATGATTTTTACTCATAATATACTGAGATATTCGGATATTTGTCTGGATTACTGAGGTATTCGGATATTTACCTAGTCAGCATTTACTTACGTGAGAGGAATTATTTATTGTAAAGACGCGTTCCATGGATGAAAGATGAGGAAAGAGAGAACGACGCGTTTATTTATCTCTGTAAAAGTAAATAAATATATAATAATAACTAAATTTAGCTGTCTAAAAGATAATCATGCCGTGTTTCATCGTTGCATGGATGAGAGAGAAAACGGTCAAACTAGTGTTGGTAGTTATACTATATTTCATTTTTACCACTACATTAATTAAATATATATATTTACAACTACCAACACTGTAATAGGGGAGAGAGATGTGACTTTTAACTTCTCTGCACGATTCTCCTAAGGCTGAACGGTTGAAGGGTATTTATTATATGAGTCGCACCCTAGGGTTTTCCTTTCTCTTTCTATAAATATAACTCACTCTCCCTCTCACTCATATCTATCTTCTAAATCATCTTCTCTCTATTTAGTGCTATCTTTGCTCTCTTTGTCACTTCAAATGGCCCCTATGTCGTGGATCATGATTCATCTGAGGGAGTTGCTGAGGTTTCCGGCGAGTGGGTTCAGTGTGGGGCCGATGGCGGAAGACATTTACGATTGGCAAACAACGCTGTTGGGCCCCCTAGAAGTCCATACGAAGGGGGCCTCTTCTTCATCTCCATCTATTTCCCACCGGAGTACCCCTTCAGGCCACCGAGGGTGTTGTGGAAGACGCCGATTCTGCACCCCAACATCGACAAACCCCGCGTCTTCTATCCACTACTCGTCACCGCTACCTGGAGGGTTGGAACGACAGTGAAGGAACTCCTCCAAGCGCTCCATGACATGCTGCTTCACCCTATGATGGAGGAAGACGACCACTTCCTCAAAGACGTCGCCAACATGTGCGTCTTGGAGCCAGAGAGGTTCGAGAAGGAAGCCCGCTTGATGACCGAGGCACACACCATAAATTAATTCATGGCGTTTTCACCCTAAAATAATGAATTTTATGTTTTACTGTTTTAGTTATCTAACATCTAAGGTTGAAGTGTGTTTTTAATTTTTTGCTTCCGTTGTAAAATATTTTATTATTTAAAAATAATTATTGTAAAATATTTAATTAATAAAATATTATTAAATCTACCTGTTTTATTCTATCCACTATATTATCTCAGCCGATAAATAAGGAAACCCTAATATATCGGGGATAACTCAGTATCATTTGATGTAACCACATGTTTATCAGAAAATTGAAAAATTGTAATACTCAGTATCATTTAGTGTAATCAATGTTATTAGGAAAATTGAAAAGTTGAATTCTCAGTATTATTTGGTGTAACCAAATGTTATTCGGATAATTGAATAGTGGTATAACTCGGTATCATTTGGTGTAATCAGTGTTATTCAAAAAATTGAAAAGTTGTAATACTTAGTATTATTTGGTGTAACCAAATGTTATTCGGATAATTGAATACTGGTATACCTCGGTATCATTTGGTGTAACCAAATGTTATTCGGATCATTTAATACTGGTATAACTCGGTATCATTTGGTGTAACCACATATTATTTGGCTAATTGAAAATTGGTATAACTCAGTATCATTTGGTGTAACCAAATGTTATTCGGATAATTGAATATTGGTATATTGGTAACCTTAGGTAAGTCTTGAGTAGAACCATGAATCGTAACTACTTGAACAGGTAGATAGTTAAAAACCGAAGCCACAGCAAGAACATATAAAACAACCATGTCCTTAACTTCCTTAAATATCCTATCTCGTCGCGTATGTTCCAATTCCCTATCCATTTCCTTCAAAACCCAGTCCTATACTACCTCATAAAGGAGAGCATGAGACCTCGTTCCCTCAACCATTTCCTCCTTCAGCTTGTTTACTGATTCCTGTAGCTGAGAAATCTCCGTCAAGTGAATCTGGTTCATGGTTCTAGTCCAACCACTCCGGCCTTGCATCCCGGTCAAATAAGGCCGAACATCTTGAATCTCTTCTTGCATCGTCTCATCACACCACTTGAAGAGATGACATCCGGGATTCTACAGGACACAAACCGTATAAATATTTTTGGTACGAAATTAAAAGCAATCAACAGCTGAACTTTGCTTATATATTCCTTATTGCAAGCGAAAAATCTTCTTCCCGGATCCAAAACGGTGTAGGAAGTTTTGATGATTGGTTGACGATGACAATAACAGAATCGCGGGATTCGAGATTCGAGAGTTTTCCAGTTATACTCATCGTCCACATAGTTGTACTTTTGGTGGATATACCGTATTCGCAGTAATACTGAATTTTAAATAAAATATTCTAGTTATACGATTCATTATTGGTTAAAAAATCAATTTATCAACGTGTTCATCAAACAAAATTCGAGGAAAAGTATGATACGTATTCTTTCCATCATTGATGGCCTAAGCTTGAAAATGTGACTATAGAAGCATAAGACACTTAAGTGTCGGATGTGGTGAGATTCATATTATTTCTTCATTATTTTTAGTATTTTAAAACCCTGGTTCGTAGTCCCTGATAAGTGTTAGCATGAAAACGACCATATTTTAAAATACTGATTATTATCGTGGTTGTATTTTGCCATCTTTAAATTATGAAATCGGTTTAAATTGGTTTATTGGTGGTTAAAGGTTGGTTAACCTCTTGTAAAACGACGTCACATGGAAACGGGTCTCCTTTAATCTTATTTCCTATTATTATAATAATATTCTACCTGACATATGATCACCTTTTTCCTCTTCCGACGAACATTCCATCGGATTTTTAACTTTTACACGATATTCTGTGACCTCAAAGTACTACTTTCACTTTTCTTTTACACAACATTTTCGCTCTTGCTTGTCCTCTCTAATTCACAATTATTTGTGTTTGACAGAACAACAAAGGTCCGTACTAAACATTATAACTAGAGCGTAGTTATATCAAATTTTCCTGAGCAAAACTAAACATATACATTGTTGATACACTTAAAAGCTAGACATCATTTTATTTTATTTTTTTTAGCATTGTTTACAAATAGTCGAATATAAAATAAATAGTCTAAGTAACAATAAACACTTCAATTTTACATTGAACTTCTGAGAACATCGATTTGAGAGAGAGAACAATAGATATGCCACTCCTTCGCGAAGAGCAGTGAGAGTATCAATTTGGCCACTCCTTCGCGAACATCCTGATAATTTGACTGAATTTTTCCTCCTGCATTGTCCAGTAGCAAGTATCGCATATATTGGTGGGTTCCTCCATGGATCCGTATATAACAAAACAACTGTGGGATAAGTCCATGTTTCCGCAGTGCAAGTTACAAGCTTTGTGAAAAACCAAAGTAACATTTTCTTCAAACACTTGCGGAGGGTTAGCGTTGGAACCCCTCGGGCTTGAATGTTCCATTGTTCGAAGCATTTGTACTGCCTCCACCCGGGTAATATCTGTCACAGATGTTAAGCTTACTTCGCATCTGGACATGATGAGGACAAGCATTTTGTGGCAGTATTTAACCATAGAGCATCCCACTTCCGCTGACTCCTTAATCATAGCCATCCCTGCTTCAATATTACGGTCATAGAAAATAATTGAAAGACCTCTTTCAAATAAATCCGTTGGATTACCTGCTGCCAAACATCTGTCCTTAAACATTCTTATCCATGCCATATGAAAGACCCAAGGTGTGGGCACGTTTAACAAATCCACTTGGAGATTTCGTTAAAATCCCTAAGGGCCACTTTAGCAGAACAGTAATCTCGTACGTAATTACTGATTATCTTCCTTAATATTTCGGTTTTCATCTCGATGGGATAATCATAAATCCCTACTTGTTTTGCCATAGGAGACGAAATGTGTTTCAGATACTTCTTGAGTCTATGTTAAATAAAAGAGGGCACAACTCCCTAAAAACTCTTGGAGTCGCCGTTGGAAAACGAAATGACACTTTTTTTTTTAAATAGTAAAACATCACAATTCTAATAAATAGTCGACTGTAATTATACCAAATAATCCCGAGTAAAACATCACATTTCCAAATACAATAGTCGACTGTAGTTGTACCAAGTAATCCCGAGTAAAACATCACATTTCCAAATATAATAGTTGACTGTAGTTGTACCAAGTAATCCCGGGTAAAACATCACATTTCCAAATACAATAGTTCAGAGTAACTAAACCATGTTATCACCCGCAGTACTTTCAGAGGCACTTGCAGCATTTTCAGCTCCAGCATTTTGACCTGCAGTAAAATAGGAATAAATTATATAAGATTCAGGGCAACGCTTATTATTCGTCTTCGCTTTCGTAGACTTCAGTCGACGCTCTACAACGGATGGGTGCTTTTTCTGCTGTTTTGCCCCCCTCTTTTTTCGTGTTCCGGGGGTAAAGCACTCAATTGCTTTATATCATCGGGGACAACCCAGTGTGACTTGTGTGGGACTGGATAGATCATTCTGTTATAAGCAAACGCCCACTGCTCGGTTAAATAATACTTTGAACACAAGTCCTCTACGTTTATATTCTCTTCTCTGTCTGGCCGTTTCATGTAATGCTCTAGTGCGGCTAAGGCATGCATACAAGGATTGTCTATATCAAAACACTTGCACGAGCAAGTTTTACTTTTCAAGTTCACCGTGTAATTCATCTCATCGCTTCCAATTACACTGTATTCAATCTCATTGATGTTTAACTCGGTGACAGTTAGCCTTTTCCCTTCAGCAGATCTACTGTGAAATGTATTCTCCACAAAGGCCACTAGTTTACATCCTGGTGGCGTAGAAGCAGCCTCGTTCCTATGCTTGTTAAACCACTCACACAACTTCGCAACAATCTTATCCACCATAGGTAATACTCATAGCCTCCTTGCATCCTTAAATACACTATTCAAGAACTCCACAACGTTACTAGTCTCTAGATTGTACCTATCTCCTTGAAAATAGCACCTGGCCCATTTTGATACTTCTACACGCCTTTCTAGATACTCGGTCACATTAGGATACTATAATGCCATCCTTGTATAATGATCAAGAGGCCTCTGTATACTGTCTTGCGCACTCCATGAATGTCTCTGCAACAATTTCTCTATCCCTTGAAACTTGTAATTTCACATTCTGGCTCAGATGCCAGATGCAATACCCATGTTTAGCTTCTGGGTACACCTCAGCTACTGCATTTCTGTCAGAAACAATAACCAATTCAGGACTATCGCGTATAACAGTTTTCAACTCCCTGAAAAACCAATGCCCCAACTGTCATTTTTTTCTGCATCAATTACTCCAAAAGCAATCGGACAATGGTGACGATTACCATCCTGACAAGCAGCAAAGACTAGCTGACAACCCATTTTGGCTTTCAAAAAAAGTTCGTCAACAGTTACCACTTTCCACATTGCTACAAACCCGTCAATGCAAGCTCCCAAAGCAATAAATAAGAACTTGAATCTTCGTTGTCCGTCCAGTAACACATTGTGTTTTGTACCTGGGATCGCCTACTCTAGCATGTACAAATACGAGTACAGATCTCTATAGCTGTCTTCAGGATAACCACGAATCAGAGATTTAGCTTTCTGTGTTCCTCTCCATGCGGTAGAGTATGACACACTCACAGAAGTATTATTTTTAACCATAACCATGACATCGTGAGGAGTTGGTGTATCTAATTGACCTGAATACGCTTCCTTAACAACAGATGCAACTAATTTTTATGTTCTTTTCCTTTGTTTTCTGTATGTACTCGAACTGATCCGAGAACAACTATGCATCTTCTGGTATACTGTAACAGAAAAACAGGGTGTATTCGCATCCTTCGAAGCTCGTAAATACCAATTACAACCCGTTTCACCGCATTTCACCACATATTGCTTCTTATCTGAATTCTTTATATTCAGACCAAAACAATTCTGATGTGAAGCTCTATACAATAAATCTATCAAATCTTGTTTACATGCAAATTGTTGCCTTACTCTCAGA